AAAATTTAAAGCATTATTCGTACGAAAGAAAATGCTCTCGTTTTTTGACTTTTGCGAATATAAAGGAAAAAGAAAAAGAAGAAAGAATAAATAAAATAAAATCGAGCGAAAAACACAAACGAATTCCACGATAATTCTCTCCCGCTTACGCATACATAACATTCTCTATTTTCCAGGACATCCGGAGCGCATAGCTGTCGTCTCGACTGGAAGAACGATGGCGCGGAAATGCGTGAAACGTAAGCGATATCCGGCTACCTCGGAACCACCTTCGAAAAGTAGCTTCTTGACGCGATCAACGGGGAAATCATCGAATCACGGGCAAAAGGGTGGAGCGAGACCTCGAATCGGGTGAAAGTCGGCAGCGTTTCGACGCGATCGAGATCGATACCGAGATCCACCCCTCTTGGGAGAGGGGGGTGGGAGAAGCGACGATCGATTTCACGAAGAGATACATCGGGCGCGGATGCGTTCGAATTCGAGCCACGTAGCAGCCGCCAATCGGGCTGCTCCTCGAGGAAATCTTTGAGGCTTTGGACTATCATCCGAGTGGGTGGGCGGTGTGGATGCTTTCGTAACCAATAAACCGATCCGCCTGGGCTCGATTCAATTAGCGGTTGGGGAAGGAATCGAGAACGAAGAGGCTTTCCTCTTCGTTCGCCCTCGTTGGAGGAGCAAAAAAAAAAGAAAAAGAAGAAGAAAAAAAGGGAGGAGCGAGATGGCTCACGAGTCACGAGGTGATACGCGTGAAAGAGGTTGAAGCTGACTGGCCTGCTTCGCGACAAAATCCTATTGATCGAGATGAGATCTCATTAAGGGCGCGCCTCTTTCGAGGGTGAGAGATCGAGGGAGCGGGCCGTCACTCGCGCCGCGGAAAATCAACCGTTGACCCGTGAATACGAGAGGGGAAGCGACGAGGAGTGAAGACGAAAGAGAGAGAAAGAGAGGGAGAGGACCGTTTTGTGCGAAACGCAGGTCGAGACACGTTTCCTGGCCGATTAGAAACGGTTTTCTGAGGCAAAGGGCCGGGATTAATATGTGCTTTGGACGAGTGCCGCGAGCTGAAACTTGCCAGACCGGCGTGAACACCGACGACAGCTGTCGAAAGGAAGACGGGGGGATCGTCGAGCTGTGTTGGTGGTCCTGCTCCGCGGGGATGGGGATGCTGTTGCCCGACGAGACTTACGAGGAACGTTCCTCGTCCTCGAGACGTAGCTCGTGCCCGAACGTTCTCGCGGATATCGACGAGGTCGAGGCGGCCAAGGCTTTGGCCGCGTTCAGAAAGTGCGACGAGTTCCTCAAGAGGCACGGGATCAGGCCCGAGTTCTTCTGCAGGCACAGGGAACGTTTGGCGCTCCAGACTTGGCTGTTGCAGAGGTCCAAGCTCTCTTCCGGTGAGTGTCTTTTCTTTTGTTTTCTCCAATGAGAATTTCGAAAATTTATATTATAAAATGTAATTCCTTTCGGTAAACGAAGTTTTTATAGTTCTTTTGTAGAATCTAGATTTATAGAAACGAACATAGAGAATTGGTATTATTTATTTTTCTGTATATCTTTATAAATGTCCTGTGTATTATCAGTTTGTAATTGGGAATAAAAGAATAGTTAGTTTTGTCGTGAGAGAGAAAAATAAGTATCCCATAAATGTTGACGTTTGTTTTACAGAAATCTAGATTCTAGATACCGAAACGAACATTAAATTGATATTCTTTTTGTTATCAGTTTGTAATTAAGAATAAAAGAATAATTCTCTCGTGAGAGAATCAGGAGAGAAGAAAAAATAAGTATCTGGAGGACAATAAATCTCGTCCCATAACGTTGACGTTGTTTTGCAGAAATCTAGATTCCAGATATCGAAACGAACGTAAAAATTGATATTCTTTTTATGTCTGTTTCGATATCTGCTCTTTATAAATATCCTATATATTATAAATTTCTAATTTAAGAATAAAAGAATAGTTCGTTTCTTTATCGTGAGAGAGGAAAATAAATATCCGGAGGATAAATCTCATCCAATACAACGTTGACGTTTGTTTTGCAGAAATCTAGATTCTAGACATCTGCAAAGGAGATATATAAAAATCGATATTATTTTTCTCTCTGCACTTTATAAATATCCTTTATATTATCAATTGGTAATTAAAGGATAAAAGAATAAAAGTTAGTTGCCCCGTGAGAGAATAGGGGAATCAGGAGAGGAGAAAATAAGTATCTGGAGGATAAATCGCATCCCATAACGTTGATCGAACGCGGGTTCCAGTTTATGGGACTTTATGGGATAGGCATCGCGATGCACCTGGCCGGCGCGAAGGGTTCGCGTTCCCTACGTAATAGATTTACGTAGAAGGAACGAACAATCGCGGATGACAATTTACGGTGGGGGGGAGGAGAGAGGGGAGTACGGCTCGTTTGAAGTTGTGCCATGCATCGAAAATAGGAGCTGTTCAATTGACCGATCGGAGGGGGACCATTTAAATCGACGTTTCTCGTTACTTTCACCGACGGTTATTTTGTTGTAGCGGTTTTTTCGCGCAATGAAACGCGTCGTTCTGGTAATTGGATACCTCTTTCCAAAAAATTTACGCCCTCTCGCTGCCGACGTAAAAACCTGATTCGCTTGGATTTATACACGTTCGCCTCGACCTCCTCGAACCGAGCTTTTTCTTCTCTCCAACGGAACCTTTAAATTATTCGAGAAATCTTCCAAGATAATTAAAATTCTAATGATACATTTTAAGATTTCGCGTTGATTATTATTTAACGGATTGAGGATCGCGAACACGTAGAGTAAAATTTCAGAGTAAAATTCTGGAAAATTATCGTCGAGAGTGAAAATTATAATTTTTCGTTAATGGATATAACATCGAGAGTGAAAATTATGATTATTGGATAATAATACTCTTCATTATCCTCCGATGAAGAATAAATTAACAACTCTGGGAAAGAATTTTAATCTCAAACGACATTATTCGAAACATTAAAGGGTACGTTTTTTCGCTTCGTCTTCCAAGTTTCACGTCGATTTAACGTCGAATCAAAACTGTCTCGCGAATTCAAAACGATTCGTGACTTTTTGGATACCCACCGCTTCGAGGTCGCGATTAGACGCGACACCAGTGACGACAATGAATCCGGTTTCTAATTTTCACGGCGATCGAACTCGTGTCGCGCTCGCTCAACATCAAAAACTCATTCTAACACCGATCGTCGATTTTTGCCTGGACGAGACGGCCAAAAAACAAGGCTGTCCAATCGATATATATATATATACATATATACGTATATACATGCAGAGGTCGACGGCTCGTGCATCCTCTCTTTGATGTTAATTTCGATTTCGAGGGAGGGAGGGAGGGGTAACGGCGATAATTTCGTTAGCTGGCTGTACTTAACGATCGCGGGCCCGTGAAACGTTGAAATTTCGCAGTCCGCGCCGTGCACCGTGCTAGACTACCGGAGGGCATTAATTTTTGTTTTTAACGAGCTTTACGTATTTATGCAGCGAGCCGCATTAGCGCAATTGATTTAATGCAGGGCATTAATCGAGCCCCCGTTCAACACCGTGTAAATTATGATTGGAAAAGTTCATTTGTCCCCCCCTCCCCTTCTGTTATTATCAACGTGGCAACTATCCTCTATCGATTAGATTTTACACCAATTTGCCGCGATTGTTTGTCGTTCGCCATTGTTTTTTTTTTTGTTTTTTCATTTGACGAAATCTGCTATTAATATAATCGAAAGGGAGAAAAGTGGGAAAATTTTGTTTTGATTCGAACAATCGGATTGGATTTAATTCATAGAGTTGAGATTCGATGAAAAAAATTTTTTTTTTCTGTTGTTCCAAGGATGATTAAAGAAAAGATGGGAAAAAAGTAATTTACTCGCAATATTTTAATTTTGTGGAAAAACGAGACTTTCTGCATATTTTTGCAATAATAATTGTGAAAATTATGCAAAAAGAAAGTGATAAAATTTTGTGTGATTATAAATTCAATAAAAAAAAAAAAAAAGGAATTTTACATCTTGCATCTGTGAAGAGGATAAATTTCATTTAATCTTTAGATTTTTCCATCTCCAAAATTATTGCCATTATTTGAATAGGACCTGACCAAGAAACAATTCTCACTTGGCCAATATCAATATTATGTTTTTTAAATACTATCCTCGAACTACACGGTAAGAATGTGGTATGGAGATAAAGTTTGCGGCGGAGCAAAAATGTAATTAAACCATGAAGAATGCAGGTCACGTTCCTATGGTTTCGCGTTTTTATGCGTAGAATTTAATCCGAATGGATTACGAATGCGGTGGATTTCGCGCGGAAACGCATCCATTTCCGGCCTTGCGTTAAAAGATGCGCCTCTGCTTGGTTGACCAAGCAGACTTTTGAGAATTTTGAAATTAATTGGACACCGATAATAATAATAAAATCCTTTGTAGAAATTTTTACAAAGATTTTTCTCTCTCGTTTCGTCATTTATCTCGATTTAAACTGTATCTCCATCGAGAGTTTGAATCTTTTTATATATTTTACGATACGAATTTTTTCCTGCACATTAGGATATAGAATAAATTCGTTCGTAAAAATATTTGACAGAATTACAAATAAGTTATTATAAATTTTTAAAAATATTCGATTAAAAGCATCGTTCGTATGCTGTTTAAAAAAAGAGATTATTTCCCAAACAACAAAACGCGTATCTTTAAAGATAAAAAAATTATTATAAAAATTATTATTGTGCTAGAAATATTTATAAATTATAAAAATTTGCCCCATCTGGTATTTAATTATTCAACAAAATTTTTTCAAATGGAATAAAAGAAAAAATCAAATTTTTCATTCACACGGAGAAATAAACGGAATTTAAAAAAAGTTTTCTAATTAAAATTATATTTGAATCATCCAACGAATTTATACGTATCCACGTAATTCTACGCAATTATATTCCACGTAAAATTGTCAATATTTACGTTCTCGAACGAACGTATATAACTTTCCTCGTCGATATTACTAATCCAAAATAATAACAACGAATCGAATCGTAACAAGTCGAGTCGCGTAACGTTGGTCGTAGTCGAATGAGTCACGTTCGTTCGTTCCTCGCGTTTAGACGCGTCAAATTATTGAGCTCGACGCCTCGGCCCATTACGCACCGTGTTTCGAGCAAGCGTCAGTTTAAGAGGTGCGCTCTTACATCATCGTCCCGGTTAAACGTATCGGAGTTGCTAGTTGAACGCGTTACCATTCGCGGTAATCTTGTCTGACGCGTACGTACGTGGTACACGCGGGGAGAGCGGTATAGAGAGCGTGGAAAGTGTAGCGCGTGTTGTTTAAAATGGCTCCTTTCCTGGCGGACGTACGTATTAGTGTTAACAACTTGTGCATCATCCGTACTGACAGTGCATACACGCTAAATTTCCCATTCTGGCCGCGTCCCGCTCGATGCACAGAACGAACGTGCATCGCACTCGCGTTATCATAAATTATTATCATTTTGTCGCGAATAGATAAATCGAGAATGCAAACGAACGAGATTATTATTAAAACGCGTGCATAAATTGGCGAGAGCCCTTTATCCATACAACCATCGTTTCATCTTTGATACCGTTTCGAAATAAATATTAAGTGCACAGCTGGGAAGAGTTTGCATTAGGCAAAATTCAATCGGATCGCATAATCTAACGAGT